ATTTTTAAAATACACTATAAATCTTGAATAAATAAAAAAATTAATAAAAAAAAAAAAAAAATTATAACTTTACATATCACAGTTTCAAACATATAAATTTTTTCAAAACAGAATAATTATAGCTTCAAGACCATTTAGACCTAAGCATTTTCCACAAAAGCTAATTTAAATTTGCAATTAATATATATTATTATTATTAGTATAGTATAAGAATAAAATAATTAAATATTACTTTGGATTCAGAAGGTTTATAATTGGTGAAATACAAATTCAAACTATTGTAAACTAAATCAAAAACTTTTATTATAAAATTCAAGTCTATGTTATATAAATTATTAACTAAGGGCGTTCTCAAGCACCTACCTCAATAACGAATCTGATTGGTCTGTTTGATCAAACTAGCCAATCAGATTTTTTATTGAATTCATTGAGGTATGTGCTTGAGAACGCCCTAATTCTCAAACAATTTGCTATTCATAGTGAGCATGTGAAAGTAAAGCTTTGTTAGATTCAAATATATATATATGAGCTTGACAAAAGGTCGGTAAATTTGGCATTATAAAAGATTGATTTTAAAAAACAAAGAATAAAGTTTAAAACTGATTCATGTTAAATATTTGACTATCTATCAGATACTAAAGTTATATTTGATGCATATTCTAGTATCTTATCTAATCTTTGTTGTTTGATTTGATATTTAGTTTCAAGCAAGTAGTTAGCTAAACTTTGATAATTAGGACTTAAATAAGATAATTGTATATCTTTTAAAAATTCAATATAATAAGAATTTTCAATAGCTGTAAATACGATTTCAGCAGAATAAAAAAACTAAGCTAAGTTTCAATCTGCACTTGATTTATTTATTAATTGCATTTCTAAATTTTTATTTAAACTTGTTGAATCTGAAGGTTGTATATTATTTTTTCGATTTTTTGAAGTAGTAAAATCTAGTAAATTCTTTATATCTTGCAGAAAATTTTTACATCTCATTAGATGGTCTTTTAAATGGTCAATTAAGTCAATAATATCACTTTCACAATGAATACACATCTGATGAGGTGTTTTTCGACCATGTTTATCAGTTCCTGTAATTTTTATAAATTATGAACGAACGCCCTAAAAATATGGCCTTCCACTAGATATAATTTTAAAATTAATATTTAATTCTAAAATTTTTATTACTACTTAATTAATAATCAAATCAAAATAATAATTACTACTCAAACAACAAATTGTGCAATTCGTACCGATTATAATGATTACGTAACAAAAGATTAAATCAGTTTTAAATTGATTTAAATTAAAAATCAGTGATTTAAATCACATGCCTCCCTAGATACCCCAGAACACCATGCCCAATACTAATACGTATGAACTTAAGTTTTTAATTGCACGTTTATTTTTTTATATTGTAATGCACTTATTAACGTTATTCGAAATTACCCGATAAGGCATGAATAATGCAGATTTTGGCGGATCTGACAAGGGAATCTATTAATAATGAACTAAATTAGATTAACAACTTTAGATGCGTAATCTAAAATTAGAACCCAACTTTTGCATGGTTTATTAATTTTTTGTGGAGTCAAATATTTATAATTTATAGAAAAAAGGTTAATCAATTAGAAATACTATTTTTATCTAAGCCAGTGAAACTTTGTAATCGAATAACAATAATTTTGAAAATTTTAGGGTCCAACATATCAAGAGATTATTATAAAGAAGCTTGTTAAAGATTAACTGAGTTTTGATATTTTATGGTCGTATTGATTTGTCAAGAGTTTCATCTAATATTAGAAGTTTTGATAATTATCAAGGTTTTATTATATACAGTAGACTTAATTATTATATGTCTTGTGATACTGTAATTGTGATTCAAATAAAAACGATCATTACCTTGAATTAGATTTACATATTTCTAACTATCAAAAACTATATACTGTATAAATTAATATATGCAGTATTAAAAGACCTTAAGCAAAACAGTGGATCTTTATATAAATTAATAGGATATGACTTTTTTTTTTTCTAACAGAGAATCTGATGTCGACAATGTAATCAATTAATTTATTAGTAGTTAGTTAAAGATTTTATCTTCTTAACACAAAATTTTCAAATTTAACAAGATCAGTCGATAAAACTGTGGTAAAATTTGCCAAAGTTGGATTTTTATATTGAAAATCAGTTATTAAATTTTAAATTTACAATTAAAACTCATTTATTATGTTTTTAACTAATATATTTTAACTAGATATTTCTGAAAACCTCCAACCAATAAAATTTCAATGCTTCTATAATTCTTTAAGTTATTGATTATTGAAACTATAGTTTTTATTAATTATATTATAGATGGCTCTTGAAAACCACTCAAACGCCTTTTCTTCATCCGTAGGCACACCAATTCCATATTGATAACATCGTCCAAGATTAACTTGTCCATAAATATTTCCGCCCTCCGCAGATTTAAAATACAATTCAAATGCTTTCTTTTCATTTACGGCAGTGCATACACCATTTTGATAACGCCATCAGAGTGAGCTTTATCCAGCACTACCACCGCTTTTAGCGGCCTTAATAATCCATTCAAATGCTTTTATTCGATCTATATTAACGCCCGTTCCATCATAATAACACCAGCCAGTATTAACTTGTCCAAAAGAATTATCACCTTTTGCAGATTTCAAATAACAATCAAATGCTTTTTTTTCATCTTTAGTGACTCCAGAACCATTTTTATAGCAAAATCCAAGGTTGCTGTATGCATCAGGATTGCCACTTTTAGTGGAACTTAAATATAATTCAAATGCATTTTTTTTATCTTTAGTAATTCCTCCGTCATAACAATATCTATCCAAATAGCATCTCATATAACAACCTGCAAGATTATTTTGTCCACTAGAATTACCACCATTAGCAGACTTTGAATACCATTCAATTGCTTTTTTAATATCTTTGTTAATACCTATACCATATTGATAACAGAACCCAAGATTATTTTGATCATTGAGATTGCTATTTTCAGCAGAGTTTAAATTCCATTCAAGCGCCATCTTACTATCACTTATGTTGCCAATATAAATTTTATAATAACGTATAAAATGTTTTTGTGTCATAGAAATATCGACACTAAAAAAAGATTTTGAATATAATTCAAAAGCTTTCTTTTTATCTTTGACAACACCCATACCATTTTCAAAACAGTATCCAAGATATACTTGACCATTTAAATTTCCACAATCAGCAGATCTTGAATAATATTCAAATGCCATTTTTTTCATCTTTATCAATATATATTCCATATTGATAAAATTGTCCAAGACCGTATTGACCAAGAGGTGATCCGTTTTTAGCAGATTTCATATACCATTCAAAAGCCTTTTTATTATCTTTTTCTATACCATATCCTTCTTAAAATTTACCAACAAAATATTGACCCAATCCATGATTATTTTTAGCAGCTTCAAGATATAATAAAAATGCTTTTTGCATATCCTCTTTAACTCCAAAGCCATAAAAATATAAATATGCCACAGAAATCTTTCCGACAATCCAATTATTTCAATTAATTCACAAAATAAATTGATAAAGGTTTTTTTTACTTCTTGAAGTGTTGACCATGTGTAAAATCTATTTGCTAATCTATAACAAACATCTGTACCAATTCCAAATTGATGAAAATAGCCAATCATACTTGTAAAATAGAATTGATTTTATGATGAATTAATTGATTGAAAACATCTGAAGTAGTTATATTACGGTCTATAAAATATTGTCAACTATATATATTGGTTCATAATAAGTATTAAATAATTTAAAAAAATATTGAAATAAATTTAATATAAATTCATCGAGTGAATTGTTTGTTGATGGATGATTCAATTTGTTGGATTTGGATGAAACTTATGAAATAATTTAATAAAAAAAAATTTTAACATATACACATTGACAAATTTTTTAATTGCATGATTATGATTTAATTTAAATTTATTAACAGGGAGAATACCTTTTCAAATCTCTTCTTTAGATTCAGGGTTTGATCCTAATTTCATGTAATCGTCTTGAAAATTAATACTACATCCGAAATCGTCCATACATTCATTATTAAAATATTCAGATTCGTTATATGCCATATTAAATATTAAGCTTTCGGTAATGTGATGATAGTTAATGGAAAAGTTCAAACTGCACAAATTATGTACGCACGTACGTAAATTATGTATTAAGAAAATACAAAATAATTAATTTGTGTATTACTGTTACTATATTATATTGTATGATAACTTGATAAGGGAATTGTTACCAACACAGCAATACATGATCGATTCTGCCATATCACCAACACCCTAGTCAGTTTGCAAGAACAAATTACCGGGGTATACCACCAAGTTAGAGTTTCAGCCTAGACCGAAACTTTTGCACAAACGAAATTTCTGAACCAAAAACATTCGAAACCTTACAGCGATCACAAATATGAAACCAATGAAATTTCCAAAATCTGGCGAACTAAACGTTGTGGAATCATTTCCACAATTGTGGAAATAATTCCTCTGCAACACTAGTCCAGTCCTATTTGCAATACAATTATGCATGGTAGCCCAATATAATTATATTTATTTACCCACTGTAGGCCTTTTGCATTCCGGACAATAAGAACAGAACTCTTCAAATTTCACAAAAGAATTATACTAATTATTTCGGAACATCAATGTTTATAAAAAGAATCAAAAAATAGGAAACGATTGTAGAGTAAACAATATGGACTCTTAGAAGAACATCTTAGGCGTCACGAAAATGAAGCAGGCCAAATTTGTAGTACGTCAACATTAATAGACAGAGTTTCATATTGACGGAAAAACAGAGAAAATGATGTATCAAAGGCAATCATTAATATTGAAGATTCAATAAATGTTGATCTTTGTTTTGTTCTGGACTCTACAGACTCTATGTCTGCTCATATCAAAAGCAGCATATATTAAAAGTAACTAGTTACGTAAACAGCAATGATTCAAATATTGAATTCTGGGTTGGTTTCTGTGGCTATCGTGATCACTCTGATTTTAGTGATCGCTTACAAATTTTCGATTTTTATTAATTCTCTCGAAAAATTTCAAACGTATATAACCAATAAAGTGACGGCTAAAGGTGGCGATGATTTACCAGATGTCTTAGGTGGTCTTAATGCTGCGATAACTGAGATGATGTGGAGCAATGCGACTCGAGTCCTTATTCATATTGACTGCGCCACCACATGGCCGTCGTTTACTAACTTAAATGACGATTATCCAGACTGTGATCCGTATGGTCTAACCGCAGAAAGTGCGCTAAAGAAAATGCAATTAAAAAACATTTTATAATGCTTCGAAAAAATTACCAATTATACTGATGTTATGCTTAATATTTTTCGTGAAATAATTGGAGTTTTCTGTATTTAATCTTATGACTACGGGAAATAATCCTGAGATATTAGTCAATAAATTTTGCAAGGCTATTAGTACAGCCATCTTTTCTTCTATTACACTAACCACAACTTTAAGAAATTCGAAAAGCATATACTCTAGGGCTGTTAATCGGTCCGTCCGGTCCGTCTTGGTCCAAAGACCGACGGTCTTTTAAAAAGTTGGACTGGACTGCAGTCCAGGACCGATAAGGACCGACCGATTATTAGACTAATTAAATGCCACACCAACATGTTAATTATTATGTATTACTACATGTTATCATTATAGATTCCATTCAAATTATTAGTTTATTACTCATTTAATTGCTTAAATGCTACCTCTAACCAATATTTAAACCTGTCTATTTATTA